TCAGATGATCTTTTTTCACTTGTGGGGGATTTCTGTAGTATTCTTGTGCCTCTGTAGCTGGGTTGTTATTTTTTCCCCATCAATGATGGTAAAATCAACAGCCGTCTCATGAGAATATCACCAGAAGCCCATATGTGTTATAGAAAGCCATTTCTTCATGTGTACACAGCTGCTTTACATGGATCTCATCTTCCCCTTATAGGCCAGAAACAACCCTGTAAGGTAGGTTTTCTTGAGAGTTTAGTCCAAGGACATCAAGTAAACTTTGTGACTAAGCTGGGATTTGAATTTGGCTTTCCTGGTCCCAGATCCAGCACTCAGACAAAAAAGATTGTGGCACCTTAAAGACTGTTTGTATTTTATCAGGCAAAACAGAAAGGAAGGAAGGAAGGAAGGAAGGAAGGAAGGAAGGAAGGAAGACCTTAAGGACTAACTGCTATATTTTAATGTGAGCTTTCATAGATAAGTCCATGTCTTCAGATATAAGAGTGAGATTACGTGGCAAATTTTTATACATTTATACGTGACATCAAAATAAAGAGACAATGGTTGCTTGATTAGTAGTCATACAGTAAGTTGCGAATTGCGGGAGTCAGGGTGGTGTTTCACACCTAGTAATGATTTCCATTTGATATTCAGATCTTTTCCATTGAAACTGTGTACTGTAAGAGTGACAGTGGTTAGTAGGCGAAGGAACACCTGGCGCAGAATAACAGCAGCAGACACAATGTGATTGGCAATTATACAGGGCCAACAATAAGGATGCTGACATTTCATACCTGGTAATGACTTCTAAAACCCCTGTTTGATATTCATCTTAGGAGATTTTGTTCTGTAAACAATAGCAATAGTTGTTGTTGTGTAGTCATTCTGATGGGCCAAAGATACCCACCCCATTGTATGTAGAATTTATGTGTCTCATGGCAGGAGGAAATGAACAAACTAGCTTTGGCCACTATAGCCACTCCCCTATGGACAGACTTCCTTATTTTCAGATAACCTCCATTATATAAATCTTCTTAAATCCAAGCATCCTCCCAATGTTCAAAGCATTTTCTAACCTTACTGATCAACCCAAGGTGATAAAAATATATTTTTTGGGTCCGGTTCATTTAGTGAAAGACATGAACAGTTCCATCTATAAGTTCTTTATCCATAACTAGAACTATATAGGTGTAGCTGTAGCTATATCTGTTGCTATAGCTATCAAGTCACTTCCAAGTTACAGTGACTTTATGAATTAATGACCTTCCAAAGGCCAGAGAGATAGGTTTTACTTTTACTGGGCTGAAGCCACCATTTGAAGGACATTCTTTAAAGAGAAACAGAGCCTTTTAAAAGCTGGCAACTTGAAAAATTAATGCAGGCAGTATGATTTGGGATGTCAAACTCCTTTAGGTCAAATATAGAACTAGTTTGAAATTCAAAAACACCCTGCATTCCCGCTGTAATGCATAATATCGGTCTATGGTGGAATTGTAAAATCCCTGCACACACTAATTCTTGCTTTCTTTTCATCTTATGAGACTAGTTGGCCTTGCTGGAAGGAAAGCCTACTAGCCCCTAGAGTGTCCAATTACACCCCACATCTTTCTAGAATATTAAATTGTCAGAACAGCAGAGCAGGTTTGATCAGGATGTTCCTCCTGAAAATAAGAAGAGTCTTGTTGGATTAGACCAAATACTTATCCATTCAGCATCCTGTTAGATGTTGACCATCTAAAGGCAGGGTACCGGAGTTGTGTGGTGACATGGGCCAAAGAGAACAGCACAGTGATAGGGAATGACAAGGCTGGTGAAAGAAGACTTGAGAAAGGCTTCCTCTTGAACTAGCATTCCCAAAATAACTGAGCCAGCATGGCTGACAAGGTATTCTGATAATTGTAGTTCAAAGAATTTGTCCTATTTATGCCTTGAAATCTCAAGCTGTTTCGGCATTAGCAGAGGAATTTATGCAACCAAAACCTCAGAACATCCACTAGCCTGTAGGTTCAGTTCTGGAGACTTTTGAGCAGCCATATTTTCAGGATCAAAAAAGGACAATTTTAAAGCAAACCAAACAAGGACAAAATATCACACAGAACTTTTTTTAAAAAAACATTTACCTAATATAACTAAAAATCAAGGTACGGAAGCAAGTATGTTTGTATATTCCTCACTTCTTTCTTACCACTCTACCCCCCCCCCCATTGCACCCTGATGCTATGTTTATGCCTTGGAGATGTGGAAATGAGCAATATGATGGATGGATGGATGCAGCTTGTCTGTGTTTTTCACCACCATTTCCCCTGGGGCACTCCATCTGCTGGCAGAGAGCACCATCCCCAAAGATGGTATCTTTTGCAAACTCGACAGCTAACAGACAGCTTCTCTCTCTGCATATTTCCCAGAAGAAGGGGAGGTTTATTCTGTTTTTCACCCCCTTTCCCATGGCATATTTCATGATGTCCGTTCCAACTCCCATTGTTCTCAATATTCCACCATAAACAAAAATGCTAGGGGTGGGAAGCAAGAAATGGGGCTGAGACTTGATACTCTTCTGACACTGATAAATTCTCATTTGGAACTGACATGAGATTTAATTGCTCAGTGAGCCATTGAGTTGCCCTTTAAGACACATCATGCCATGTCCTGTTAATGAGCTCAGTGGCTGTGTTTGCCCAGCAGTAGATCCCTGGGATGTGCTAGGTGGCTTCTTTCTTTCTCTCTTTGGAATTTGCCATTTTAAATGATATCTGCTAGAATCAGTCATGATATACAGTTAGGTGATATCTGTCAGAAGAATAATTCAGTTCGAAGAATTGGTGTGACATAGTATTTGTATAACCCTTGTGTAGGCCTTTCTTCGGGAAGCTGAATTGTTTTGGTTTTGCACAGTATATGTCTTTGGATTGATGGATCATCATAGAACTCACCCCAAAGTGTTTCTGTTTCCAATTAGAATTGGAAGTAGTGCTGCCTTTTGTGTGTGGAGAGACTGTGGCTCTGGTAGGGGCTGATTCTGTACTAACTTGTTCAATAAAATGAAACTCATTGCTATTACACAAAATATTAGAGGAGCAACAGAGATGTTGGAATGGGTGAGCCTAACGGATATTGTGTGTTTTAACCTATTATCATAGAGTGCTCAGATGGGAAAGGAGTGTGGCTGTTCTCTTAACTTACAAATTCTGAATAACAGCTATTTCTCTGAAGTGGGTCTCAAATGAGAGTTTGTGCTAAAAGCCCTCTGTGGATCTTCATCTCCCCCAGAATCAAAGCTCAGAAAGTTAAGTTATAAAAAGTAATAGTTACAATTGTATTATATCAAGTCCCCAAACTATACTTTGTTCTTATACGTAGTTGAAAAAGTAATTCTTTTCAACTTGTCCACATTAATCATCACAGTAACTAAAATGTTCTGAAATTATCCCTTATGAAGCTACAGTTGCTGTTAACATAATTGCATATCAGAATCATGTAACTTAATTGCAGAGTGCCGCCTCTGCTGGGATGCCCCAGTTGTGAAATGCTCCCCCCTTGGAGATCCAAATGGTGTTGACATTTGGGCACCAAGCAAAAATGTGACTCTTCACCAAAACCTTTGGGGTTGAAGAATCAGAGCTGGAATTGGTTGTGGACTCCTGTTATAAGTGTGCAGATTTTAAATGATTTAAATTGGTTAAATTGTTCTGGTTTAATTTGTGTTCTACAGTTTATGTTTATATGTCTTAATTGCTTTCAATTACAGTAGTTTTGTGTACGCCTCCCAGAAATGTCCAAATAAACAAGCAAGCAGCTACATCTTTGTCAGTTATTCCAAAAAGGAATTGATTACATTTAATTAATTATGTGTAACTTGGTCACCTCCAAACTCTTCCCAGGCTATATGACTCTGAAGAGTTTGTGATTGCTGCTCTCTCTAGGTGCTGGATCTTGCTAACATTTTCTTTTCAGATCAGACACATTGCTAAAGACCTACATATTTCTAGTTATGGCTAAGCTCAGAGTATTTTAATTAAAAAAGACATTTTTTGCTGATTAAAAAATAGATGTGAGAACATCAAACATGATAAAAAATTAGCATGATGGAATTTCATGCTAAGAACTTTCTATTCCAGTTTTGCGTTAGTGAGAATTTGAAAAGCTGACTCCTATAAGTTGCTAAGAAGCCCATATCGTATTTTGAAAAGCGGGTTCTTCAGAAGGTGGCTTCTGAAGATGGGGCAGTCTGATACTTCTTTCTTTTTCAAAATAGCACTGCTTGTGTGGGCAGATCTTTCGTCCTTTGGAACCTTTGAGGAAGCTGTCTGGGGAGTGGAAGTAAACAGGCACTTACGAATTTTGATGTGGTTTTTGGACCAGTGGGGCTTTGAAGCAGGCCTTCAGAATATATGCTTAACTGCTAGTGGGAGAGGTGATTAGGAAAGAAGAATGACACCTATCTAAAGGGAATGCAGCTTAATTATCACTACTTGCTGAGCCATTTGACTGTCACCTTGAGAGGAAGTGCCTAGAAGCTGAAGAAGGAATAAGTGTGAAACATTTGTTGTTTTGCAGATTGTGATCTCATTAATAGATACCATATGTTTTGGCAAGGTTTTGATCTGCTGGTAGCTCTTTTGCAAGTTCAAGTTATCACTTGATGCATGGCCAGATAAGTGTCCAGGTTACATCTTGTTTTTAACTTTGTATTTTTCATAAAGCTTATAAATAAACAATTACAAGCAATGGTCCACTATAGAAGCCTCAGGTTTGCACCTGAATTCATCACTGTAGGTGGAATCAAAGGCAGATTTAAAGTCAGCGAAAGCTGCAAACAAGCACCTTTTATCTCTGCTGGTGCATTTCCCCACCAAATGATGTAAAATTAAGGGTTTGATCCAGGGTGGCTCTTTGTATTCTGAAACCAGCTTTGTTCATCAGCCAGGATTTTTAATAATGTCATGTATTCTGTGATTTATCCTTGGCTCGGTGTGAAATAATGGTAGCTTCAATTTTTTTGCATTTGGTTTCTTTAGAAGTGGACCTGCCTCTGAAGAAGGATGGCTTCACAACAGAGGGGACCACCCTGGAAGCCTTGTTGCGTGGAGAAGGACTTGAAAAGAAGATCGATACGAAAGAGGAGGACACTCTGCAAGAAATCCAGGTGATTGGGAGTGTTCTTTCTGGTGGCCTGGCTCTACTTCCTATATCTCTACTACTGAAATGATTGGGGTTCAGTCTGACACCAGTCTATTAATCTTTTGTGATCTTTATGCCATAAACTTATATGAAAGTAAGTCGCTGCTCATAGGCATAGAGTACACGTGAATATGTGTGTATGTCAGAGATTGTGCTGCTGTAATGATTTGTAAATGTATGATGCCAAGGTTTTGGGAGGGACTATAAGATACCTAGTGTGGTGTGGATAGAATGATGGATTAGGACTCAGGAGGCCTGAGTTCAAATCTCCACTCAGCTATGGAACCTCACTGGAGGAGCAAAACTGATAAAACCACTCCTGAAATATCTCACATACCTTGAAAGCACAGAAACACAGATATGCACACCTCTATTGGTAACATATTGATGTCACTAGTCTTTGAGAGGAAAAAAGGAGCATTGAAAAAGAAATAGCACCGATAGCCAATATGGGTTTGTGGACAGACTGCAAAGAGCGCTCCAGATTAAAGAACAGCCTCTTATCCTTGAGACTGCGTATTTCCTGACCTTGTAACAGTTACTTTCTTGGACTAGATTTCCTCAAATTCTGCAGCATAGCCTGTAACCATGCTGGCTGTATATTTCTGGGACATGTAGTCCAAAAAAAAAAAACTTTTTAAAAAAATAGTTAATTCTGAAAATCTGACATAGCCCTATTTCATGTGCCATATGAAAACAGGTTTTTTTTTGCTCCAAACTCTGAAGTGCACGTGCTGATAATAAATGTTCCCTTCTGTCTTTGCCCTTCTGTTGAAAATCCTGTGTTGTGCTGGGATTTGTTTTTAATTACGGTTTATTGTTTTAACTACAGAGGGTTTTGGAAAACGATGAAAATGCGGATGAAGTGAATGAAGAGGAAGAAATGGAAGAGGATATTCCAAAACGAAAGAATAGACCCAGAGGACGGGTAGGTTGCCTTAGTCATACGGGACGAAGAAAGGGGGAAAGGATGACCCCCATTTTCATATTGACACATGCTCTGTTACTGTAGATATTTGCATTCACAGATAGACACAAAGGTTAATGATACCTGTGGTATATGACATCTCCATATGTTAGGGGGGGGATAAAGATTATTTATTTCTAACCTTACGGTCTGTCTATGAGATGCTCATTTGAGTGTTTTTGGTTTAGAATATTGTCATGTCATGAAACCACAAAGGAAACAGAATTATCTCTCTCCCCACCCCCAACCCCAGTTGCATGGACGTATTTGTTTGCCGAGCCATTGTAAGTTTTATTACTGTTATTTTTTTGTTCTGTCTGGATTTTCAGATGAACTGAAGCTATATCTTTTCCCCTGGCAGTTTCAGTGCAGGAAAGAGCTGGCTATTGATCAGTGTTCTCTGCATGGTTCTGCAGCTGGAGGCTCTCAATAATCAGATCCCCTGGCAGGAAACCCACACAGCGTGAAGGCAGGCAGCTCACCTCCCACTCGTCATGTTGCCTGCCTGCCTGCCTGCCCGCCTGCCCTGACCCTCCCTTGCTCTCTGGAGTGAACTGCCGAAGGCTCTCAGGACTGAGCATAACACCAGCCCCTGCCAGCCCCCACTAGCAAATTCACAACAGGGAGCGCTTTCACATTAATCAAATGCTCACAATCCCCTTTCCTTTCCTCCATCAGTATCTTCCTAGTAAATGGCCTCTGTGTGTGTGTGTTTGTGTGTGTGGCGGAACAAGGCCACCAAGGAGTGACTATATCATTATGTGCCACAGGCAGGATGCAGGAGGGAGGTGCTAGTGGCATCATGCAAGAGTAACCATAAGACTGAGAAGAGGAATACATTGCAGACTACATTTTTATCCTTCCATAAATTATCCTCTTTGTCTATTGCTGGCTTTCCTCTTGAAAAAACCTTCTTTCACCTCTGCCTGTTCTTGGCTTGTTGTGGTTTCCTCTGGCTGCTATTGTTTTTCAACTGACCTGCACATGACACAACAAGAGATGCACACTATTGTGAATTATTAGGACCAATCCATATCTTTAGTTGCAGGGCTGCCCCATATTTTATTCCCCCCCTTCCCCATTCTGCTGTCATGTTACTAGGTGGAGTTAGATGAATTAGACAGGAGTTGGGTGTGGTTTTGTTAGGGCTTATTGGCCTGTTTGGCTAGAAGGGTATTTATTCAGCATAGACTGTAGCTGGAGATGGAGGAAGCTGTGCCATGCATTTACTGTTAGAAATACGTTGGAACTTAAACTAACTCCAGGTCAACTTACCTAACCATCTTGCTTGGTGAATCTTTGATCTTTCTCAGCCTGTGATGCCAGATACTGTGGACAAAGCGGTTGATCGCTGTCGGGCCACCACCTCCTCCCTTGAACCTTGCCTGGCCTAGCTAATCAAAGTAACCAGGCCGATAACAACAGAATGGGCCACAGTAATAATAAGTGAGTCTTTCCTTGAGGGCAGGGTTCCTCCTGCCCTCAAGGAGACACTTATTAGGACCATAAGGAAGAAACCTAATTTGGCGGTGGGCGAAACTGGCAATTATAGGCCCATCGCCAAGGTTTCTTTCATTAGCAAAGTGGTTGAGAGGGTGGTGGCTAACCAGCTTCAGGCTCATTTGGATGAAACAGATACCCTGGACCCGTTTCAGTCGGGCTTCATGCCGTGCCACGGTACAGAGACGGCATTGGTCATCCTGTATGATGACCTGTTGAGGGAGGCTGATAGGCTAAAACATCTATGTTGGTCCTTCTCAACATCTCGGTGGCTTTCGATGCCGTCGACTACGGTATTCTCCTGGGGAGGCTCGCTTACATGGCTGTGGTCCTTCCTCGGGGAGTGTCCTCAGAGAGGACAGCTTGGGGAGAGTTTATCGGCCCCATGGACCCTCAGTTGTGGGGTTCCGCAGGGCTCGATCACCTCCCCAATGCTGTTCAACATCTATATGAAGCCACGGGGTGGGGTCATCAGGGGGTGTGGGGCATTGTGTCATCAATATGCTGATGACACTCAGCTCTACATCTCCTTTTCACCAACTGCAGGAGATGCCGTTCTGTCCCTCTAGTGCTGCCTGGGGACTGTACTGCAATGGATGCAGGAAAATGGGCTGAGGCTGAACCCAGACAAGACGGAGGATCTGAGGGTGGGTGCCCCCACTGTCGGTGGCTTGGGTGACTCTCTCTCATGGGGGGGTGACCCTTGCCACAAAGAGTGGGGTCCACAGCCTGGGGATACATTTGGACCCGGCACTCACCATGGAAACACAGAATCCCGTAGAAGGAATGGAGTAGCCCTCAAAGTCAACAAAAGAGTGGGAAAAGCTGTAATGGGATATAATCTCAAAAATAATAGAATGATGTCAATACGAATCCAAGGCAGACCGTTCAACATCACAGTAATCCAGGTTTATGCACCAACCACCAATGCTGAGGAGACTGAAATTCAACAATTTTATGAAGATTTACAACACCTTCTAGAACTGACACCAAAGAAAGATGTTCTTCTCATTCTAGGGGATTGGAATGCTAAAGTAGGGAGTCAAGAGATAAAAGGAACAACAGTTAAGTTTGGCCTTGGAGTTCAAAATGAAGCAGGGCAAAGGCTAATAGAGTTTTGTCAAGAGAATAAGCTGGTCATAACAAACACCCTTTTCCAACAAAACAAGAGGCACATTACCAGATGGGCAATACCAAAATCAGATTGATTATATTCTCTGCAGCCAAAGATGGAGAAGCTCAATACAGTCAGCAAAAACAAGACGTGGGGCTGATTGTGGCTCTGATCATCAGCTTCACATAGCAAAACTCAAGCTTAAACTGAAGAGAGTATTTATTTATTTATTTATTTATTTATTTATTTATTTATTTATTTATTTATTTATTTAT